CCGCACGGCCAGGCTCGGGGCGCCCCCGGTGACGCACGCTTCCACTTTCTGAACCCAGGTGTGTTGCCGTCATGGGGAATCTCATTCCAATCCGAGGGCGCCATTACTGGGAGGTGGAGGTGGACGAGAGGTCCCACTACACGGTGGGTGTGGCCTTTGAAGATGTCCCTAAACAAGAGGACCTGGGAGCCAACTGCCTGTCTTGGTGCATGAGGCACAGACTTGCATCATCACGGTAAAGTAGAATCTGGATGCCTGATGCTAAAATTGGCCTTGAAAGAAGAGAGCACGAGGTTTCACTAGCAATAACTAAGGCGTAGAGTAGGTTTCATAAAATATTCTAAGATACCTCAGGGCTCTTTTCCAGCCCTTTCCCCTAAAGTCCAAACGAGACGCGAAAAGAGCAGCTTTGGGTACTTTTCTTTCAGACAGAAATAGCTACAATTCACGGAGAGCTTATTCCGTGCCAAGCGCTGCTCCCATGTCCTGTCCTGTTTACTTCTCACAATTATATCACCCCATTTTAAAAATCGGCTATGCCTCCCAGCAGTCGGATAATCCGTCCGACGTGGATTTTTGGAGCTTGGAATCCAATCCAGGAAGTCTGGCTCCAGAGACAGCATTCTTAAGCACTAAGTGATTGGCTTTTCATTCACGCTCAACTTGTGTTATTAAATGGTTACAGTTTGATCTGAAGCCCCAATTCCATCTTTGCAAGTAGGCAGTGGCTTAATAGTCATGGCTCATTCTGTTTTGCTTCTGCTGCCAAGCACTCTGTCCTCTACGCGTGGATCAGTTCTAGAAAGCTGGGAAAACCTGATGAGGTGCAGTCCCGTGGACATATTCAGACTTGGGAAGCCACTGTTACAACCTCCCTTCACCTCAAAAATTACAAAAATTCACACCGTCTCCCCAGCATCTCTTGTACCACGGGGCCTCTGACCCTTGTTGGCTTGCTGTATCTTATGCATGTTTGATCCTGCGTTCTCTGCTGGGGAACCTCCATCGTGGTTAATTAAACACTACCCGTCATGCCCGCGCATACGTGGGAAGACCCCCCCCCGTAAGGTACTTGGATTAGAATGGACTCTACCAATCCTCAGACCCAGTCTGAGAAACACAGGAAATAGTAGGCACTGAGCCGAATAGTTTATTTGGAGATTCTGCCCGAAGTGTAATAAGGCTAAAAATCAAAGTATCCTCTCCTAGAGAGGGAAGAACGAAGGGCAGAGGAGAACGGGGAGGATAAAGGAAGGGTAGGAGTCTGTGTACGGTGGGAGGGTTGAAAGGTCAGAAGACAGAAGAGGATGGAAACATGAGACAGCGTGAAAAAGGATGGGCAAAAAGCCAGGCACTAGGCCTGGCCGCTTCTGTGGCCCCACCTTGGAAAGACAGAGGACAGAGTTACAGACAGAGGACAGACAGGATACGGAAGGTATCCTAGCTGACTTGCAGTTTTTGCTTTCGTCTGGTGCTGTAGTGGGAAGAAGGTGGAGGGCAGCGCCTTCCTGGCTCCTGGCTTCTGGCGGCTGCTTAGCTAAGGAAAGGAGCTGAGGGGAAGATGAGGCGAGCGGGGCCGGAGCCAGGCTGGCTCTCTCTGACACCGAGACCGTATTCCAAGTGCTCCTCCCAGGCGTGTGGCCCAGCTAGCTGGCACCGCGTTCTGCAGACATCTGTAGGTAGCAGGGGTAGGAAGTTCCCGTGGCTGCTTTGGGTTCCAGCCATTTTTTCAAAGCACCCAGGCTACAGAGCACGGGGAGAGGGTGCTGGGCTAGGCTGCGGGGGCGGTGACGGCCCCGGCTGGCCCTGCTGAGTCGGAAGGTCTAAGGATCATGCCTGAGTATCTGTGCACAGGTTATACCAAAAGGCACATTTTATTACATGAAAGATCGTGGGGCTCCCCGGTTCAAACATCTTTATTACGAAGGCTTTATACATTTGAACCTTAAAATCCCAAGTTTTAAAACACCAATTTCTATACAAACTTTGATGCAGTAAGAGTGTATCTAAGTCTCTTAGGTGAAGAAATTGATCAAAAACAAATGGTGTTTAAAAAGAGAGGTCTCTTAGGACAAATTTTAGAAAAGAGACAGATATGTTGGGAAATGAACCGTTACTTTGGTAGTCAATTAAAAAAAAAAAACACGATCGCAGCATTATTTGAAAACTAATACGAAATGTTCTGTAAATAGCGCATCTACAGAACTTCTGAAGCTGTGTCCTATCAACATTTAATTTCTAGGCATAAGTATGAGTTCCTGCACAACGGGACGACTCCAGATATAAGAATAACTGTCTCCCCGAGGAAGATCGGCATTCTGCTAGACTATGAAAATTCAAAATTGTCATTTTTCAATGCGGACATTTCTCAGCATCTGTACACGTTTAGTTGTCAGCTTCACCAATTTGTGCATCCCTGTTTTTCTTTGGAAAAGCCTGGGTGTCTGAAGATACATAATGGCATTTCAATGCCAAAGCATGTCACTTTCTACTAGACCATTCTGATGCCAGCTCCCTCTCTTCTGTACCCACCCCTCCAAGCCGGCCACCCCTCAGCTGGTTGAACTTGGCGTTCAAGCACAGGTTTCTAGCCCTGCGCACTGCCACCTGGAAGATGTTAGGTTAGTCATTACCAGGCGCGGCTGTAAAATGAGGGCTCAGACAAAATGAACTCCAGGCCTTTCAGGTGGTCAAACTGTATCGGTCTGTTTGTTTATATGCAAAGTATCTGAAAGTCCAAGGTCTACAGAGCGTGGGGGCAGGGGCAAGGGAGGGAAGAGATACATAAGTACTAGTGGCCGTGGCACACCCGGGACATCTTGCGAGTCAGCCGGGAACAGACTCCAGAAGGCAAGAGGCTGTCCACAGAGAACCAGGGAAGCCACGCGCCTTCTGTTTTCCCGGGAGTTAATGGCACTGTGATGCGGTTTCTGGCACTGAGCACGCTGTCACACCTGTTCCCCTCGTTCACAGAACTCACCCCACTCAAACTTTGAAATGACCTCTACCGTGCGCCCTTCCATGAAGGCAGGGACAGTGTCTGTCTTGTTCATCATTCGGTCCCTAAGGACTAACGTGTAACAAACGGTACACACCAAATACTGAATAAATTAGTATCTTCCTCATCCAACCACCATTGTCGGGCTCTCTGCTCTCCGTGCGAGGGATGGTGGGGCTCTTTCCAAACTACAGCAAAGGACGTACGGCAGGGAGATGGAGAAAACCTGGAGGGGAGGCAGTCTGAAGGAACAGAAGGGCACCTGCGGCTTCATGGCAAGACTGGGCAAAATGGAACGTTCTCCTACGCACTTCACGTCCCGCAGCGGCCTACACATAAACGTGGCACTTTCAGCGCATCGGGAGAGGGAGCGGGGGCTAAAGCGGGAAAACACAGAGAACGTTAGTCACAACTGATTCTCGGAACTGTCCTGTCACGTGGAGAGAACCAGACTGGAAATCAAAAGACCGAGGTTTGATTGCTCCTCTGTAGCTACTCTGCAAGGAGTCACATGATCTTCCAGAGCTCCCGTGTCCCTTTAAACAAAGAAAAAATAGCACTAGCCTCAATAGACTAGACTCAATAGACTGGGAGATTTAATGACGAACACGGGAGTGCACGATATAGAACGTATGGCAAATGCGTGGCAGCTTCGGGAGAGAGAACCTCGCCCGCCAAAGGCTAAAGCTGAGCACCGGTGTGCAAAGTGGCCCCTGGGCCAGCAGCTCTGGGGCCTCCTGCCTCTCTGCTGTCATGCCCTCCTGTGCCCACAGAACCGGCCCCGCGGGCTGCCTTCCTGGTTCTCCGCTCGGCTCTCCAGCTGCCACCTAAAGCTCTGCACACTGCGTCTTCGAGCTTGGACGTGTGGGTGCAGAGCAGGGGACTCTGCCTGTGAAGCAGTTCTCAGACCGTTTTGTTCCGCCCCGCGGATGCCCCTCTGCACAGATACGCCCCGTGTCTCATCACTCATGGTTTCGTGGGAACTGAAAATCCTGTGATCTAAAACTTTAGTGTTTTCCAGCACAGAGTCTGATGCGATGAACGCCTCTCAAGTCGCCTGTCTCAAAACCCTGCCTGTTGATACACATGGCGGCTCAGATTCCTGAATTAACAACTTGACAGTCTTACTACCCTGAGATAAGGAAGGGACGGCCAATGTAAACACAGAGATGGTTCAAGTTACAAACAGAATATACATATGTGCATATTCAAAACCAAGCTTAGCCACTGCAACAGAAACTACCAAGCAGGAGGTAGGCTATCACGGATACGGCAAATTTGAATTCAGCACTCTAAAGGCTTTATGGAATATTTCACATGTAACCTGAACGTGGATAAAACGATTAAAAACTCGACACCTGTAAGGTTTGAGTAAAAGTTTTATTGATCAAGAAAAAAAACATCTAGAATTTGTGCTGACATATAAAATTCACTTACTTTAAAATGAGGCAGATGACCAACTTAAAGCATCACAGTTCTTCAGCATAGTGAAGTTTTATTTAAACATGGTTCTTCTAGGAGAAGAAAAAATAGAACAGAACCAAACGAAACTTTTTTTTTTTCTGTAAAATATTCCAGTTCCTAAATTACCATGAATAATCTGCTGAAATCAAATTTCAACAGGGGCAGGATTTACCTCAAGGCCATGTTCAGCTGCAACCTGCTGATATATCTGTTAAAAAAACAAAACAAAAAACAAAACGGATTTTTAAAAAGTCAGAATATTGTAGCCACAATCCCTGACACCGCAGATAAAACAAAAGATACCAATCTGTTCTTTTCCTAGCTTTACCTGTATTACTTTCTAACTCTTGAGAAGGTTATTAACATAAGTTTTGGCTTCCCTCAACAACGGGGAGACTACGTAAAATAACCACAGAATCTTAGTGTAAACTAACATGGGCTTAGTAATTCAGAATAATCAGAATTTAAGGCACCCTTCGATGGGACTGGAAAGTTGGTCAGAGACACCGGTTTCCGATAAAATGAAATTGCCTTTTATTTGGAAAAGTGTGTTTAATGGACTTCCTGCTGATTCAGACAATGATATGCAATCATTGCTTGTACACACCCAATAAAATCTTTCTGAAGCACAAGCACGGTGACCAGTATAAAGCAGAGTGATTGCATGGGCAATGAGGCCTTTTCCTTAATGCTTCTCATCCTCTCAATATTTGTCAGAATCATAACCTTACACGGCTCACACTGGCAGCTGCCCGCAGCACAATTCACCATGACATGGCATTCTGTAAATGAGATCCGCTCGTCTCTGTCCAAGGAGGCTTAGCTACCAGAGAACCTGCTGGACCCTCCAAAGGCTGCACTACGGGAAAGGTCCCGTCCTCCGCTTTCCTGAACAACTTCTCCAATTTGCAGCCACCTTCCTATCAGTTAGTACAGGAAGAGTCTTGTGGGTTCACTGCCTTTTCCCACCCTTTCTAATCTCTCAATTTACTGTTCCTATTTTCCACAGCAAGACCACACTATACGTATAAATGCTGTTGGTAGATAAGTAGGTCTTGAATTTGTTTTGTAAACAAGACCTGTTCTATCTACCTTTTCATTTAGGAGGCTAACAGCAGAGTCGGCTTGACTTCAAGGACTCTATTTTCTTAGTCTCCAGAAGACCAAGTCCAGCCTTTGAAACACTGTCCTCTAGCACGTCAAGACACGAAAGGAATGCTAGTTGATTACTTTTAGATAACTAACTACTTTTCGAGTGTTCAGAGACTGGAACGCTAACATACACGTGCTTCCCTGCAATCCATGGTTAAGGAATCTAAGTGCAAGATGAGAGTTCAGGATTTGCGAAGAAGATTCCGGCCAGTCAGCACCTTCTCCGTCAGCAAGTCTCCTAGAAGGAGCGTGATGATGAGCTGGGCACGATGGATGCCCCGAGTGAGTACTTTAGAGCTGCTAGTGCACAGGCGCCAGTTCTTGTCACGCCTGTCGTGTCTTCCACTTCACTGCTTGTTTCCTGCTAGTCCCAGTCCCAGAAAAAAATTAAGCCCGATTCACTGATTGATTGCTTTTTCGTCATTCTCCCCAGACTTTGACAGAATCAGGTTTTTCTGCCTAGTTCCACCTTCATCAGATCCTAGTGGAATTAAACTATCATTGATTTGAATGACAATTCAACTACCCAGCTTGCAGGTCAAACAACACGCAGTCACTCAGTTATAGCCAACAAAAATGCTTTTGTAGTATGAACTTGGGTTCTGATTTTGCTGCCTCCCCCATGCTCATTCCTAGGTCTAGATGTGGGCTTAAGAGAGGCCCCTAAATTCGAAAAGACTGGATTAGAGACAAGAATATAATCCATTCACTGGGAAAGCAATCAATCAACAAAATTGAGGTTTCCCAGCTGTGCATTTTAACAAAGCAGGAACGCAGTTTTTAGAGATGGATTTCCTGAGTACAATCATTATTTCTTGGTAAACCTGTCCTATTGCTCTGCCACTCAGAAAGATGCCTCCCCTCTGACTTCTTTTCTATCCTCAACATCCATCTAATTAAGGGGAAGAAGGACAGGGAGAGAGAAGGAAAACAAGAGGAGCACTATCCTCAGAAGGACAGACCTCTGAAGAAAGGCAGAAGACACTTACTTGACCCTGTCTTCTGTGTAATTCACAATTTGTAAACAAGCCACAGATCACAGATCCCTAGGTACCTGGAATGGACCTACCCTTTCTTGTCCTCCTAATGCCTGTATAGCTCAAAAGTCACTTCCCGGAAGCACTTAATTCCCGCCCCCCCTCCCCGGCCGAGTTAAGTTGCACACACTCACCTCTTCTTGAATACTTAAGTGGCACACTGACCATTGACCTGTATCTGCTCGACTTAACTGTATGCAAACCAAAGGGAGGAACTGTATCTTCATAATCTCTGATCAGATCATGGAAGCAAAGGCATTCTGCTTTCAAACGCTCACATTCCTGAAAAGAGATAAGAGGCATCGAATTGTCGTCCAAGTTAAAAGAAAATTTCTTCATCAGAAAGCAAAGCACTTTCATGGGGCGCCTGAGTGGCTCAGTCGGTTAAGCATCTGACTTTGGTTTCAGCTCAGGTCACGATCTCACTCAAGGTTGGGCTCCACACTCGCATGGAACCTGCTTAGGATTCTCTCTCTCTCCCTCCTTCTGCCCCTCCTGCTGACCCTCTTGTTCTCGTGCTCATTCGCTCTCTCCCTCAAAAGAAAAAAAAAAAGCAAAGCACTTTCAAATTGTGTGTTGAGTGGGGAGAGGGAGATAAAAAATAGCGAGTGATTCTCAGCCTTTCTTCTGTCCCCATACACTTGAGAGATCTACCACAGAACCCTGTTAGTAACAGTGACTTTTAACTTGGGAGGAGTGGGAGGGGTTTATGGGAATCTGAGGAAGATGTATGTGGTTTAGCATGTTTCCTTCCTATCCCTGCAAGAGATCTTTAACACATTTAATATTTATTATAGTTTTGATGATTCTCGAGAGAGCCCAAAGTCTACAACATACATATTTTAAATGTTCTCAAACATCAATCTGGTTTATATGTTTGGAGGCTGATGAGTGGAAGTTACCCCTTGGCCCTGATAGCACGCCACACCATGACTCTCTGCTGGTCTTAGAATCTAGGACTTTCATGGAGGAAATCATATGCTGTAAAGGTAATGACAAATTCAGGTGATACCTGAGAAGAAGACCACAGATGATACCTTCTCAAATGTCAAGTGTCTTTAAAAAGTCATTTTATGGGAGAGGCTTCCTCACCCCACCCCCCAAAATTTTACCCAAAGTTCCATATCAGATGTAGGGGAAAATACTACATATATGGAGGCGCCTGTCATTCTTGAAATCTCATCCTTTCCTAAACAGTTTATGGAATTTTCAGAGCCTAGGCTTCATTATTTTAAATCAAAAAAATATGTTCCCAGCCCTTCAAAGAACCTCAAGCCAATCTCCCCCAAATAACCATATATAACTACCTACCAAGGATTTCTGTAAAGTATAAGGCATTTTAAACACCTACTCATGTAGCAATAATAATGAATTCAATAGTGGGTCCGTTTCTGTGCAGTTACTAATCCACTGAAAAGTCTCGAGTTCTAGAAGTGAGAGAAGGGTGATGTGTAGCCTGCTGTGGTCACTGATGGAAGCAGGAGTTAAATGGTCAAGAGGAGTGAGTGAAACAGAAACTGCCTACAGGGGCGCCTGCGTGTCTCAGTAGGTTGAGCCCCTGACTTGGGCTCAGGTTGCGAACTCACCGGCTGGTGAGTTCAAACCCGGTGTCAGCCTCTGTGTTGACAGCTCGGAGTTGGGAGCCTGTTTAGGATTCTGTGTCTTTGTGTCTCTGCCCCTCCCCCACTCACACTCTCTCAAGAACATTAAAAAATTTTTAATAAAAAATAATAAAATGTAAATAAACGACACATTTCTAATTCCTGACTTTCAGCCTGTCTCCTCTCACTATGCTTCCATTAAAAACTGAACCGTGGGGGATGACCCAGATGGCTGTCCCTCCTCTGACACCCAATGACTTGGCTGGCAGATTCAGGAAGCTTGAAAATCACCCGCCTGTGTGCATGTTTTCAAATTAATGCAACAGGTGCTGCTGCCTCAAGCAGGAGTCACCGATTCAGAGGGCCTGGTTATGCACAGGCCCCGGAGTCACATCCCTTAAGGGACCACTTATGTTAAATTCACCTCCTGAATTATTTTTCCTTAAACTTTACTCCTCCCTTCCACATATATTCCCCACCGCACCTCCGTGAACTACCAGGCTTGTTTTTTTAGACGGGGTCGAAAAAGCTGAGCAAGAGTTAGGTATGAGACGTAGATGTGGTTGGGTGACGAGGACCCTCGCGACAAATACGCCGACCTCTCACCTCTACTCCGGTTCCCCGCCATACTCCCCGAAACCCGACACGCCAGCCAGCCTGCCCACAAGGACGATATCGTCGCCCGCCCCGCGGGTGGCCCGAGATCAGCCTTGCTCTACGCCACAACCACACCCGGCCCTCCGGGATCCGACCCCGACAGCAACTGCACTCTCCTTCCGGCGGGAAAGAGCTCCTTCCGGTTTCCGGGTGTGGGGAGGAAGTCCCTCCCCCCATGCAACAGCGTAACATAGCGGGACGCGCCCGCGGAGGTGAGGCGGCGGCGCGGAGCTGGGCAGGAGGGGCTCCTGGACTGGAGGTGGCAGTTGCTGGGTTCCCGGCCGTGGAGGGTGGGGAGAGGACTGGGCTGTTCGGCGGTGTCTGGAGAGCGGCTCGGAGACTCCCGTCTCGAGAACTGCCTTCCTCCCTGGTCGCTCTCTGGGGAATCGAGGCTCTTCCCTCTCCGGGTGCCGCGTGTTTCATTTAGTTTCTGGCTTCCGTTCGTCTGCGTAGCCGTTTGTCTTACAGTCACGGTGCTTACTTACCACTTACGAGCAGTGGCTGTTGGTCGTCTCCCAGCAGGAGCTCATAAGGTCTGGCAGTTCCTGACTGCTGCTGCCGGAAGCCCATTCCTGGAAGGATTTGAGTACCTACATAGTTCTCAGCTGGACTAGGGACATAGCGCTGTTGAAGTTAGGAAGATAAATTAGAAATTTAAATTGCCTTTGCTTTCGTTTCCTAGGGCTGTGATAACCAAGTATCGCAAATTGGGTAGCTTAAAACAACGCGTTTATTATCTTACAGTTCTGGAACCAGGAAGTCCGAAATGAAGGTGTCAGCAGGATCATGCTTCCTCTGAAACTCTGGGTAAAATACTTCCTTGCCTTTTCCTAGTTTCCGGTGCTGTGCACCCATCCTAGGAGTTCTTTGACTTGTAGCTGCATCTTTTGGATCTCTTGAAGTTTCTCCTATGGTGTTTTTCTCTGTATCTGTGTTTCTTCTTAAAAGGACACAGCCTTCTTGGACAAAGGGCCTACCTTACTCCTGATCTTAACTAATTACATTTACAATAACTATTGCCAGATAAAGTCACATTCTTTTTTTTTTTTTTTTTCAACGTTTATTTATTTTTGGGACAGAGAGAGACAGAGCATGAACGGGGGAGGGGCAGAGAGAGAGGGAGACACAGAATCGGAAACAGGCTCCAGGCTCTGAGCCATCAGCCCAGAGCCTGACGCGGGGCTCGAACTCACGGACCGCGAGATCGTGACCTGGCTGAAGTCTGGCGCTTAACCGACTGCGCCACCCAGGCGCCCCGATAAAGTCACATTCTAAGGTTCTGGGAAGGTCGTGAATTGGGGGAGGGGGGCGTGACACTGACCAACATAGTATAGCTGTCAGAGTGCTTAAGGAGTTGGCAAGCCAAAAGCTGACAGTAATTTGCTGTAGCACATGTGAACTCAGACATAGTTCAATTGGATCTGAGAACTTTTCATGGGTATTTGAACTATTCCCTTGATAGGTGGGTAGGATTTGGATGTGCCATTGTAGATCATATATAGCATTCTAAGCAAACAAAAATCACAGGAAAGCACAGGTTGAAATGTAAAATAGGTTAAAGTTGGAAGGATTTTGGGGCGCCCCGGGTGGCTCAGTCTGTTGAGCGTCCGACTTCGGCTCAGGTCACGTTCTCATGGCTAGGCTCTTGAGTTCGAGCCCCAATTCGGGCCCTGTGCTGACAGCTCAGAGCCTGGAGCCTGCTTCCGATTCTGTGCCTCCCTTTCTCTCTGCCCCTCCCCCGCTCGTGCTCGCGCGCTCTCTCTCTCTCTCTCTTTCAAAAATAAACATTTAAAAAATTTGTAAAAATAAAGTAGGAAGGATCTTGAACGTTTGGAGTCTGTTCTGTATGTAAAATGAGCAGTATATCAAAGTGTTTTGGCAGAGGAGTTGTGCTTGAAGATTAATTAGCAACTGGAGTCAAACCTACTTTGTGTTACTTAGTCCATTTTAAGAAGTCTTGAATCCTGGGGCACCTGGGTGGCTCAGTCGGTTAAGTGTCTGACTTCAGCTCAGGTCATGATCTTGCGGTTTGTGAGTTTGAGCCCCACATCAGGCTCTGCTGACAGCTCAGAGCCTGGAGCCTGTTTCAGATTCTGTGTCTCCCTCTCTCTCTCTCTGCCCTTCCCCCACATACGCTCTGTCTGCCTCTCAAAAATAAATAAACATTAAAAAAGAGAAAAAGAAGTCTTAAATCCTATTCTCTGAACATATCCTGTGCTTTTTCATCCTGGTCTTTGCTCATGCTGTCCCTTATTCCTGGAGTGCTTCCATTAAGGAGAGTTGTTCAGCTCATAATGTTAGCATCCCCTTAATACCAAAACCTGACAAAGATAGCACCAGAAGAAAAAACTGCCCAACTCCCATCAATACAAAGCCCTAAAATAAAATAGTAGCAATTTCAGTCATGCCCTCCATCTGGAATGAAAGATTTTATCCCAGGAATGATTTAACGTTAGAAAGCCTGTTGCTATAAATCACTGTATTAATAGTTTATATGAGGTTAAATCTGTATGATCTATATGATCATCTCGAGCGGTAAAGTGTTTTTTGCAAATATTCAAAACCTACTTTGATTTCAAAGAAAACATTGAGCAAAATAGGAGGGGTGCCTGGGTGGCTCAGTCAGTTAAGCGTCTGACTCTTGATTTCCACTCAGGTCAAGATCTCATGGTTGTGAGATTGAGGCCTGTGTCAGCCTCTGCTGGAGGCTGCTTAAGATTCTTCCTCTCTTTGCCCCTGCCTGCTTGTTCTCTCTCCCTCTCTCCTTCCCTCTCTCCCCCACCTCCCAAAAATAAATAAATAAAACACTTAGCAAAATGGGAATAGACAAACAGCAACTTGATAAAAGGCACGTAAAAGAAATCTATGGTAAATGTCATACTTAAATGATAAAACAATAGAAGCATTCTCTTTAAACTCAGGAAAAAATGGAATATTTACTTTCACTTCTAATATTCAACATGGTGCTAGCTTTCTAGCCAAAGTAATAAAACAGGGAACAGACAAAAATGTTAGGAAAGGAAGAAATGAAAATATTATTTTTGGATAATGTAATTTTGTTTCTGGAAAATGGAAAAGAATGAAATTACAAAATTATTAGAATTAAAAGGTTCAGCAAAGTGGCTAAATGAATACAGAAACTTAAATTTTTTTGTATATCAGTTATAAAATGGGGGGGGGGGGAAGAACCCAATATGAATACACTGCACAAAAGAGACTTCTTTATGAGAAATATGAAATATCATTAAAAGACATTAAGGGCAAGTAAATGGACATTTCATGTTCCAGTATGGAAAATTCAGTGCTTTAAATATATCAGTGTATCATAAATTAAAAGGTTTTGGTACAGTACCTGCTAAAATACTGATAGAATCTCCAAGTAATTCTCTTTGATCCAGTATATTATTCTTTTGATAGACTGTTGGGTGCCATTTATTGATATTTTATATAGAATGTATCTTTTATTAGTGACACTGACACGAAGGGGAGCTTTTTTTGGTACTGTATTAATCAGATGTTGATATTTAAAATTATACTAGATCCCTTAAAATAACTTGAGGGAGCATTTTATATTTTACTACGTTCTGAAATAATCTAAGTGACTTTGGAATTATCTGCTCTTTCAGGACTGAGTCGAGAAATCAATTGCAAAATCCTATCATATAGTTTTACGTGGTAGAATTTATATATAATGTGTCCACTCTCTTCTGTGATCATTTAAAAAGTCAACTTTTTGGGTTGCTTGGGTGGCTCAGTTGGTTGAGCGTCTGACTTGATTTGGGCTCAGGTCATGATCCGAAGGTCATGGGAACGAGCCCCATGTCAGGCTCTGTGCTGAGCGTGGAGCCTGCTTAAGATTCTCCCTCTCCCTCTGCCCCTCTCCCCAACTTGGGCGCGCGCTCTCTTTCTCTAAAAATTAAAAATTAAAAAAAATTAAAATTCAACTTTTCTGTGGGGGACGGATCAACCTTAATTTGTATTTTGCTTGGAAGTCCTCCATTTTCAACAGATTTTCCAAATTAGTTGTCATTGTATTGTGTATGGAATTCTCTTGTGATTCTTATGGTCTGCTCTGCACATGAGGTTGTTTTCTCATTCCTAACCTTACATATTTTTGTTTTCTTTTTTCTTGAACCAGGCTTGCAAGAGGATTTGTCTCTTTTTGAATGCTTTTCAACTCTTACTTACTGTCTTCTGTTTTCCAGTTTAAGTTTTTGTCACAGTTCCTCGTCCTATTCTCTTATTCTTTTCCCATTTCTTTTTTTTTTTTTTTAATTTTTTTCAATGTTTTTTATT